TTTTGACGACCTCTTCTGTGCTATTTTATTTCTAGCTTGTTCCACTATTTTTATTATTAGCTCATCGGTGAAAAAGAGCTTCAAAAAATATATGGGTTTTGTACATGATCCATGATACATAATATATTTATTCTCGTTTTCTTCACTGCTTCTTGAACTTGGTGGTGGTTGTCTGTCTTTTAGTAACTATAATATCACTACCACTAATATAATAACCAATCTATCATTTTCAGGCGCGTCGATATAAAATTCATCGTCACTACTACTGAAGTGGTTGAAATATATACATCAGGTATACAATAAATATCATGTTATCTTTTATTTTTGCGTAAACATGTCCTCAGCGAAGGTTCAAGAAAGCAATTTAGAAATATTAGAAATGAGAGTAGGGGATGACAGACAACCTGCTGTAATGACATACGCTCGTATGTCGGCAAAGAGTTAACAGTCACCTCACTTTTTGAACAGAACTCGTATAACGTATTGTCCTAAACCGTATTTTGGCAAACAAACGTATTATTATTATGTTTTCCGCAGGACTTTCCTGGATTTTAACTTTTTTCTCGTGCTCTCGCACAAGGACAAAAAGCCGTTGGACTTTGAGTTAGTCTGCGGAAGGGTAGTTCGTTTTTTTCAGATGTTCATTACTTTGCGTACTATTCCCGTAGTTTCACGATTCACGATTGGAATTATGGTTACGCTGTCTTGATCCCGCATTTCTTTGATTTCGTTGACTAATGGTAAGTATTTGTTAACTTTTTCTTGATATTTTCGTTGTAAGTTTGTTGATGGTGGTACCGTTGTTTGACTTTTCTGTGTACGAGTTTATTGTTTTGTATGTGCGCAACCGTGATGATTTCTCTGTTCCAGTACAGTTTGTGTTGATCGTTATCTACAACCGACTCAGGTTTGAGTTTGTAGTATGGTTCTTGTTTTCTCTCTGAGTCAAATTTTTTTTGTAGCTCTTGGTATACTACTTTTCCTACATTATCGTGTACTCGTTGAGCGCCACTGTTTTGCATCCATCGATTGACTCCGTTTCATCCGCATACATAGTGCATTTGTCGGATTCTATTCTTAATTTCATTATATACTTTGGATAGTTTCGAGTCGCTATAACCTGATCTCGGATGGCACATACAAATCCTTCCGTCTCGGGAAACAGTCGTCCTTCCTTCAACCAGGCCATCGAAGCTTTCTCGTCGATATGATTTTGCCTGAGCAACGCAGGGTGTAGACCATGCAGTTTTTTTCCTAGCCAGTTTCCCATATAATTAGTCGGTGCTCTTTCTCTAAGGTTTCTGTCTCTTAGGTTGTTAAGTGTAGATAAATTTTTATCTATGTTTACTATAGCCGCGTATAATCTGTTCTCTTCTGCTTTTTTGTGAAAGTATATGCCAAGATTGGTGATTTGCTTCTGATGATGGTCCGATATTTTCACGAATCCTCTTCCACCAACTTCCCGAGGCAGAGTGAACCTTTATATTGAGCTACTACGATGGTGATTTCTGTGTTTTGTTGTCATTCTTCGGATCTCTCTGTCAAGTTGTTCTAGCCAGTTTCTGACCAGCTGATGATTCCATAGCTATATGTCAACACAGGTGTTAACAGCTTTTATCATGTTCTTACCACTTAGCTTAGTCTTCATAATCTTCTTTAGTCGCTCTTTTAAGTTGTTGGTGATAGTTCGTTTTGATTCCTTTTGATCGATTCCTCTTGCTTGCTGGTATCCTAGGTATTCCACTCCTTTGTGTCTCCTCGATTGCCGTTTTCCAGGACGTTGATGCGGCACTTATCCAGCTCAAACGTCATGCCAATATCTAAACTAAATTCTTTTATTAACTTTATGTATGTTTCTTTTCAGGTCTTCAGCAGAGGTAGCGTATACTTTGAGGTCATCCGTGTAAAGAAGATGGGTAAGTCTACGTCGTTCTTTAGCTTTATTCCGCTGTTTTTATGTCGCCTGCCGGATTGTTTATGTTCCCAGGTTTTCATCACTTTTTCAAGAAGGTTTTGCAAGTTAGGGCTTATTTTATACATCCTCATTACCTCTAATAGCGATGAATGTGGTACGCTATCAAAGGCCTTCCGATAATCTACGTATGCGTGTGAAGATATTTTTCTTAAGTTTTTTGGCATTTGCAATAGTAAGTGCGTCGATTATCAGTTGGTCCTTGCAATATTATTATTAATATTATTATTATTTACTCGAGAGCTCTGCGCCCAGAGAAACGACAACGATCCCCCACCCCCCAAGGCTCTACGTCTCTGCCAGAGCGAGAAGGCCGCTCGGGTATCTCATTTGCTGGATGTTTTACGAGCGATTCGGCTATCGGCGACTTCAAACGCTCGCGTTGTTTACATAATAGAGGTCCTCGGCAGCCGGAAACAATGTGAGCGCGCACTTCAAAGGAAGCCGACGCAGCTGCCTACTTCTCTCGACGAAACCCTCTTGGGCTCGCGGACCGTGCGGTGCAGTGGCGCCCGCGCCGACGATATTTACTCGACCCGCGAGTCCGCAGATCGAGAAAGCGGCGTGCGTCGGTTTCGCGACAGTGCCGACCAATCAGAACGCGGCCGCCAGTGCGGTCACGTGTTTCGTCGGCACGGCGCTATTTAGGTACTTTCTTTACACATGATGTGCGATTGTCGTTGTTTAATTCGGTTACCGTTGACGAATAAACGTCAATTTATTGCAAATTGTATTCAATGGGATCCAAAATTAACGCGACAACATGTTTATTATTTATTTATTTTTATTATTAGTACATCTATCACAATCTAAAAGACCCTGAACGCTAATTTTTAATTCTTACATACGGATCATATCGTCAACTTAAAAAAGATCCTACGTCACCTCTGGAACGCACTCTCCATCGGACTCCGAGAAAAAATCTGTCACCTCTCGTGACTCTAAAATTCCTCGTCTCTACGGACTTCCTCAAACTAGGATTATCCCTTCGACATATTGTCAGCACCACTGGTTCCCCAGCATATTCTCTAGCAAAATATTTAGTTTCCTTTAAAACCCTTTACAGGGAAAACTGTTTCGTGCTTAATTCCTTTCACTCCATTGAACAAATAAAAAGCATTACATTAAATGCACAAGACATTCTGGTTAGTTTCGACGTAGAATCTCTCTTTACTAAATTTCCTATTCCTTGTAAATTTTCAAAAAATATTATTCTTAATTATTTTCAGGTTTTTCGAGGTATAAGGGAATTTCATTTACTCTTAGAATGTGTGATAATATACTATTTAAAAAATGCCTCGGGTAGGGAAATGATTACTTTTTACCAACCATGTATAATGTACAACTAATTTTTTATATTAATAATTATTATATCTGGTAAAAAAAAAGCGAAAAATTAAAACATCGCCTAGAATCGGTTTCCGGGTTCCGGAAATTGGACAGATGTTTTAACAAACTCCCGCCCTCCCAACAGCGACAAGCGAAATGTCATTATAAAATCCACCAAACCGAACTGCCGCATTATGCAGCGACCGTGGGTCGAAGGGGCGGGAGGGGGGCTCATTTGAATATTTTAACCATTTGAAAGGCAAATTGCCGAAAATTCTACCAGTGACGTAATGAAAAAATGTGAAAAAAGGACTGTCTCCGAGGGTCGGCTTTTTTTCCTTCCGTAAATCGGTATACGCGGTTTTCCGTAAATAAACGATTTTATTATGTCATTAGAATAGGCTTGGTGTCATTGCTAACGTAGTCGTCATCTTTCCGATTGTGCTGACATGTGGTCGCACTTGAATTTTCCTCAGTGATATAAAAGAAAACGCCCGAAACATAAATGATCAATTTAAAAAATTGCACCTAAACATAATCGAAAAAATAAATAAAATTTCAACTCGACACTCGTAAAAGGAAAAACCTATTTCTGAAGTAGTCAATTTATGCTTATCCGTCCTTTTTTTTATTTCATTTTTTTTCTAGTGTTTGTTTCATTAATAGTTTCTGTATCCATATAATTATTAATTATTTTTAATAAAAGACTTAAGGGTCACGTCATTCATCCCAAGAACGCATCAAGGGTCAACGAGGTCTTAGGAATCGAGTTTTGATCCTAAGAAAAACATAATGATTTATAATACAACCAAAAATACATTGCGTTTATTCAATGATCAAACGAACTTACCTGGTAAGTGAAGTTCGATCGTAATTATATGTTACACCCCTTCGTAGAAATCAATATACGTAGTCCCCCTTCTAGTCGCTAGGTGGCACCACAGCTTTAAAGCAGAGCCAAAAAACTGTGGAATAACTTACCATGCACGGTATAGTCGCCATCTATGGTCTTAACCTCATTCTATTTTAAAGCCCGTGTTTAATAAATTTGTCAATGGGCATTTTAGTACTGTTCGGAACAGTACATTGGGCGGGAATGGGTGATTTCTACGAAGAGGTGTAACATATAATTACGATCGAACTTCACTTACCAGGTAAGTTCGTTTGATCATCTAATACGTAGACTTTCAAAGGCAACTCAGCAAATTTGTTACAAAACGATTTTATTCGGCCGTATATAAAAAAAAAATCCAAACTTTACGGAACTTATGAAAGCCTCTAGTAAAAATACAAACTAAATGGTTGTCCGAGAAAACACAAAAAATTCTAAAAAATAAATTCTAAGTCGCAAATATGGCATTAACAAAAGAGCCTGCACCGGCTGTACAAATAGGTCTATTATAAAAAAGGGCAAAACATTTAGAACGTTCTGACCAACCTGCCGTTTTCCGAATCATATCAATCGAAACACCTTTACGAAACGCAGACGATGTTGAAGCATGTCGAGTGCTGTGAGCAGTAAAAATAGATGTGTCCACACCACTATTCTTTAAACCTATCTTTATCCACCGGCTTATGCTAGCTCTAGTTGCCGCCCTATAAGGCCTTTTAAATGTAATAAGCAAACGAGTCAAGTACACAACTAGGGTCCCAAGTACTGTCATATCTTGGTTTACTTGGCCTTAAATTATAAACACCTTTAAAAAACCTTGTTAGATTTGCATTGTTAGTTAATTCTGATCCAAAAATAAGGCCAAGAGCCGCCCTGAAAGAACTCAATGAGCCATAGGACTTGCCTTGTTTATAATGCATAGTAAGGAAATCTAATACAGCAATAGGTGAGAAGGAATAACAATCCACTCCCCTCCAGAAGCTCCACCAAAGTTTAAATGCATTATTATATTGCCTCAAAGTAGCGCTCCGAACAGATGATAGGAAAATATCCAGCGAATCTTCTGGAATATTCCTCAGGCGGAATGCTTGCATGACAAAATCCCTGCAGCCAGGGTAAGGGATTTCCACAAAGGGTGAGCTCTCCTGTCAAAAGAAGAAAGTAGTTGTTTATTTGGTTTTAAAAACAATAATTGGCTACATCGCATCCCGTTAAAAATAGGAAACCACGGCTGGCTGTGCCAGTAAGGGATTACTACGATCCCTGTAGCTCGATCAGCCTTGATTTTCCGTAAAACTCTTGGCAACAAGCAAAATGGAGGGAAAGCATAGAAAAAACTGTCGCCCCAAAAAACAGTAAAAGCGTCTACATTAGATGCCTCCGGATCTGGAAACCAGGAAATAAACTTTCTGCATTTCAGAGAAGCAAACAAGTCAATTTCCGGAAAACCAAATTTAGTTATTATTTTTGCAAAGGCATTGTCTGAGAGGCACCATTCATAATCAAAATTTAAATTCCTGGATTCCTTATCCGATTCAAAATTATCGGAAGATCGAATGTAAGATGCTTTAACCCATAACCTTCTTTCTTCGCACCAACCCCAAAGGCGCCTCGAAATTTCGTTTAAAACAGGAAATTTTACTCCCCCCATTCTATTTACATACGAAATAGCAGTTGTGTTATCAATCCTCAGAAGTATCTCGCAGTTACTCAAGTGGGAGGCGAAGCATTGGAGACCAAAGAAGGCCGCAGTTAATTCTAGTGCATTAATATGAAGCTGAGTTTCCGTAGGGCTCCAAACGCCTCTGGACAATTCCCTTGGCATACAATTCCCCAACCCAAAGGAGTAGCATCTGAGAAAATCTCAAGTTGGTAACGTTGCTGCCTTATAGGACATGCAGGATTCTGTAAACTTTTTATCCACCACATAAAATCCTTCTGTAAATTGAAATGAATTGTCATCCATTTATCATAATTATCGTCAGAGTCTTGGAGGGCTAGATATTTGATTGTCTCAAAATTCTTAGTGTATACCCAACTGTAAGAAACTGCTGGACAAATTGAGACTAGCACACCACAAAGCTCGGCAAAATCTCTTATTTTGCAACGGTTCAAATTGCAAAACTTACTTATCAGATTACTCACTCGATCCGATTTATCTTTTGAGATACTTACAGACAAGTGATTGGAGTCAAAAACAAAACCTAAAAATTTACAGGATTTCGAAGGATGTAGAACACTCTTCTCGTAATTAATAACAAAACCCAAACTAACCAGAGTGTTGCAAGTCACTTGAACATTTTTTAAGCAGAAATCATAACTATTACCAAGTAGTAAAAAGTCATCTAAATAAACTACTGAGAGAAAACCTTTGTCGCGGAGATAAGAAACCACTGGTTTCATTAATTTTGTAAAGACCCAGGGGGCTGTGCATAAACCAAAGGGTAACACGTTAAACTGATAACAGACAGAATCAAAATAAAATCTTAAAAATTTCTTTTGATTTTCAATTATTGGAACTAGAAAGTCCAAAGTGGCCATAAAAGACTTCCTTGTTAAGAGTGTTTCAACTATCTTTCTATCTTCAAGTTTAAAATGACAAGTGTCAATAAAAGCATTCAGTTTCTTTAAATTTAACACTAACCTAACCGAACCATCCGATTTTGGTACCAAAAAAATGTTTGAAATAAACTGATTCTTACAAGGTTCACAAACTACAATGGCACCTATATCTACCAGGTGTTTAACCTCATTATAAATCGAATCTTTTTCTTGTTGGGACCAAACAGGATTTGTCGGAATGAAGTCCTGTATAACTGGCCTCGCAAATGGGATTTCATAACCTTCCAACCAAGATAAAATCTGTACATCTTGAGTTATAGAGTTCCATACATCCCTGAACTCGTGCAATCTTCCAGCAAAAGTACTTACTATTTTCTTCTGGGGACATACTTCCTCCCCCTCTCTTCTCGAACCTTCCTGGATTCCCTCTTTTGAGGGTATGATGACTTTCGCCCACTTTGGCCTTGGATCTTCCGAGAACGAAGTGGGCCTGTCGAGTTTAAATCCCTATGCTGTAATGGTCTTGTTCTGGATGCACCTGCTCTCAAATCTGCCACTGATCTACCAATGGCTTTTGCTGATTTCAGCCTGTCAGACAAATCTTCTCCAAATAAGAAACAGTCCAAAGAAGCATCAACGAGCGCCTCCTTCATGCATGGCTGCAGTCCATTTGGGCCCAGCGAAAGGCTTAACACAGCCGATCTTCTATACATGGAATCCGAATGGTGTATTTTGCTTAAAATACATATCGCATTACTCAAGGTTTCGATGAGGAGTAAGAACTCCTCATCCTTAACCGGTTTGAAAAGCAAGGTCGAGAGTGCCCTAGCAACAGCCGTCAAAGCAACCCCTACTTCCTTCTGTCTTGCCATCAGTCTCTCATCCCTTTTCTTGCCACCTTCGTTGATGGCAGACTTCATCTCCACATTCAATTTTGGAGGATCAATGAGGGGGCAATTCTTCGGCACTGGATATTTATGCAAAAGGTCACTGAGACAATCTTCTGATACACCGGACTTTAAAAAGGTATTAATCTGCCCTACCAAAATGTCATGAAGCGGCTGGCCCATCGAACTTTGTGTTGGGACTATGGACCCCAGAGCTTGGAGGACACTTTGGTCTAAATCCGTTTCGAGGGGCTCAACTATGACTTCAGAATTAACTGAAGAGCCTAAAAAACATACTTACATTAGACTAGGTAAATTCAATATATGTCCGTCTCCCAGACAGTTCATCCATAGCCGGACAAACCAGACAACTCTATTTTTTCGATGTCGAAAAAAATATAAAACCATATGTATGGCCGACCCCCTCACAAAAGGATTGCTTCCAATTGTGAAAAACTTACATTCGACGGCTGTCGTGTGAGTGGGAAAGATGGGGGGTCTTTCGAGTTCTGGAGATTCCGATCGGGACCCGGACGATGAAGACGTCGTCTCCGAAAGAGAAAATCTCGTTGATCGAGAACCACGCCACTCGCGATTACGTAATCGCCGACGGAAAGATTTAATCTTTCGCCGTAGGTAGATTTTTTCTTCATCCGATGATGGGGAAGGTAAATCTCGTTTGTACTTCCCCATTTCTAACAAAAACGCTAAAAAAAGGCTGAAAAAACGGACGCCGAATAAAAATGAACATGTGCCACCAAAGCACAAAAAAAGGAATGAGGTTAAGACCATAGATGGCGACTATACCGTGCATGGTAACTTATTCCACAGTTTTTTGGCTCTGCTTTAAAGCTGTGGTGCCACCTAGCGACTAGAAGGGGGACTACGTATATTGATTTCATAGAAGAGGTGTAACATATAATTAAAGAGCAACGTGCAGATGTAATTAGACGTACAATCTACGGCGGTGTTTTAACCCTAGAGTAATTGCATAAATTTAACTTAAACTTAAACATTATTGTATATTTAACCCGAGTGAGATGATTTGGTCTGAATTGAAAGCGCGTATAAGGAAAAATAAGACTGTGATAAGAGTGTGAAAGCTGATATAACTGTGAAAAACGAGTAATAAAAGAAGAAAATATTTATCAAGAACGATTAGTGGCGGAGTGACAGCGGTCACGACAGTATCAAAAGTGACGGTTTTTAAGTGACTGATACTTTGTTATTATTGCTTTTAACATTTTGTATATTAATAATGATACTATGTAGAAATGTAATGAAGATTGGTAGGCAGATAAATTCCTAGGACGGTCCTGGAATGGTTACGGGTAAAGCTCTGCTCGGCAGGGTGTTCCATAAGTGGCTGCGATTTTGGAGTAATGAACAGCAGACAAAGTTAATCACGGAGTCGGTTGTAAAAGCACTATATTTCTGGATCAAGTATTCCTATATACTTAGTTTATTAGAATGTGTTAAACCAAATGATGTCGTTTTATAGCTTGACGCCACCAAATGTTTGATGTATTGACACTTTGCAATTTTGTCGTCATATTTAATTAAAATTATTAAAATTACAATTTATTAATTAATTATGAAAATATTTAGTCCCTATATTCTATCTTACAATAATACTATAATCATAGTTCGATAATTGTCGTCACAACGTCAAGACGATATACTTCGAGACAAACTATACTCGAGAAAAAAAATTCAGGACCTCCGCCACTTCGATGATAATAAAACCACCAAGCCGGTACGGAAGAACAGACGGCTCGGCGGGAGGGGGGTGGCGAGAGGTACCTTGAATGCCCGTCGAGCCATGCCCTCTTGCAGCCGCTTCGGCGCACCTGTGAGCAATGGACGCCGATTGCCCCAGTTCTGATAATACTCTCGATTCACGCTTGCGACGTTGCCGTATTTCCTGGCGACCAAGTTCAATTTCGGGCACCCACTTGCAGGTAGGAGGCGTGGTGTTTTGTATAAATGTGTCGATTACCGCGAAAGAATCAGGAGAATGTCAGCAGCAATCGCCGAAAGTGGACGCTAAGATTGATGGATAGCCAGCCGAGCACATTCATTATAGTTTGACAACGACTTACAGTGTTAATTTTGAAAGATAGAAAAAAAAATACAAAAGTAGAACTGAAAGTTAAAATTTTCACGAAATTATATATTTTTACATGACAATTGTTTCGACAACACCGTGTCATTATCAAATGTAATATTGACAAACTACCTGCTACTATATATATACCGAAAAATGACCATAAAACCTTAATTAATGTTGTTGCGAGAATTTAAGTTCAATAAAGGAGAGGTATTTAAATCTAATTGATCGTTAAGCAATATTAAGTCTCATTTTGTTAATCTCCATGACTTCCAATAAATTTAATGTTTTACTTTTTGTGACTGTGTGTAATATATAAAAATTGTCGTCAAGAATGTATTTTTCTGTGTTTAAGTGTGTGTAATATTAAGTTCTTTGTTGTAATTTTCTGTTGAGAGTGGCGTATTAAGAAGTCTGTGTATAAAAAAAGCTATTTTGTGTGTATAAGGGTGATTGGAGCTGTTATGTATGACTGCGTCCGTGTGTGAAGGTTTATGATATATTGAAAAATCTAATTGGTTTTGCGCTTTCGTAATAGTTAAGTCTAAAAATTTAATAGAGTTATCCTGTTCAATCTCGATATTGAATTTTATGCGATTATGTAATGAGTTAATGTAATTTAAAAAAGAGTTCAATTGTCTGTGCGTTCCAACAAAGCAAGCAAAGACATTATGTTGTAGTATGATATTTTCCAAGTTATCCATAAAAATCTCTGCTCACAAAGGACTAAGTGGGTTTCCCACAATCAAACCTTCCTTAGAGATACAAATCTGTCCATTAAATTCAAAATAATTTTGGTCTATAGACACTATTAACCAATTTAATAAAATTTTTCGTCCGGCCTCTCCTATGTATTCTTTGCCGCATATACATTCAATGCTGTAAACTCCTGACATCTCAAATGGAGTTTTGTTTTTCGCAGATCGAAGATTTCGAGAGATTTTTGGACAAGTGATAAATCTGGTTTCGACGTTATGTTTCTTTAGAACTTTTGATATGTGGTCAGTGATGTTTTGAATGTAAGGAAGGACAATAGAGGATTGCTTTCGGCCTCATTGCTATTGGAAAGTTATGGTGTTGATGGAACGCTTAATACCTTTAATGTGGAAATTATTAGAGAGTAGGGCAAAGGTAAAGGGTTTTAATAAGGAAGCTTTGCTAGAGAATGTGTTGGAGAACCAATGATGCTGACAATAAGTCGGCTTGCGAAAAATAAATTAGTTTTTTTTCTATTTACTATCTACTTACCCTCAAATAAAACAATAAAATGAAAATGTATTCCATATGATCTTTTTCTTCGGTTTCTGATTGCCAAACGTTAGAGTAAAAAATATACTAAAAAGAGAATATTTTCTTCATTTTTGTCCTGAACCCAACATTCAATTTTTTTTCATTTTTCACCGTAGTAATCAGTGGAAAAAATGCTACTAGTTTGCTAATTTGAATCTCTACTCATAACCAAGTTACCAATGATGAACACTTAATTTCGATTGGTCTGTATAGTATAGTTGGGTAAAATGGAAGATGTCGATTTGACAGGTTCGACGCGTCGTAACCTATCGAGTTGCCGATCGCGTCCGGGCTTTGAGGTAATCTGGAGGCTAGCGGCAACGTCGCGCTCAACATTCGGAACGGCGGTTGCTCTCCGCGCGGTCCCTTTGATCTTCGGTTAAATGGTCGCTCGGCGCGCATCGGCGCGACGCACCCCACAATTAATATGTTGTTTATCAACAAGTGAGCAAATGACCCTCATTGACCCGGTCGGATTCCATGGACGTTCGTCATCCGCGGTTTTACGTCGCCGCTACACTCATTACAGGAGCGTGTTGTGGGGCGGAGGGTGGGGGGGAGAAGGCGCGAGGAAGAAAAAATATTTCACACTCGGAAGTTGAAATGAAGACGATTGTGAAGGTTTTAATCTGCTATTAATATACTTCGACCAGAAACATAGTGCTGTTTCAACCGACCCCGTGATTAACTTTGCCTACTGAAATATGGCCGAACAGGTCCATATTTTGCTTAGAATTTAATTATTTGGGGTTTTGTTAGGAAATATACTAAACAATATTTATTTATTTATGTATGTATTTATGTTTAAATCTAAAATAAAATTACAAACTATTTTTATTACCTACTTAAATTACTTAAAATTATTCACATAATATATCAGGATCACTATCGCTATCATCGCCTGTTCTAATTATTATTTGTTCCATATTATTTGCAATATATGCGATTGTTCGGCTTTTTCTATATGTTTAACAGAATTTGTCCAACTTTGTGGACGGATGTTAAAAACTTCGGTTTCTATAAGTTTGAGGACATTGGAGTTAACACGGGGAAAAACATTGTTACGACGAATGGCAGATTTCAGTTGGTGCCAAACTTGTTCAATGGGATTAAGTATACAGTGGTAAGGTGGAAGCCTTAAAACTGTATGCCCTACATTTTTTGCATAATTATCACAGACGTATTTCTTTTGTAGGTTCAAGCTTTGTAGAACCTCAATTAATTGCTTTTTGGTATAATCTTCGTGAAAATAAATGTCGTTATTATACATGTAGTTTTGGATTGTTGCTTTTGTGTCACATGAGGAAAGGGTTTTAGTCAACTGTCTACTGTGATAACTTGCATTGTCCATTACAATGACGCTATTAGGAGAAATGTTTGGAACTAGTTTTTAAACCAACTTTCAAATAAATCAGCCATGGTAATCCAGAGAAGTTTCGAGATTATTTGATTATATAGGGACACTAAACAGTCTTGAATGGATAATCCATTGCGAGAACCAAGCTGGGAATTCGAGAAAAATTGCTCCTTTTTTAGAAATGCATCGAGCCGCACGTAAAAACACTTTTCGAATATTTTGGAAAAAGCCGATTAAATGAGTATTGTTCTTCTTGTGTATAGGCACAACAATGGAGTGTTTTAAGGCTGAGAGAAATACACCTTCTAAAAAAGACAGATTAATAAAAAAAGTAAGAGGTTCGACTATAATCTTTTTTTGATGATATAATGCATCGAAGGTCAACACACGTGAAAGATGTAATAGACGTCGATTTGAAGATTTTTTATTAGTTGTCTGTGTTGTTTTTATATTGTTTATTATTTTCCTAGCGGAATCCACAAAAAAGTCGTTAAATTTTTCAGAGGTCGCGTGTAAATCGACGTCTGGAAACTTTTTATGTTTAGATAGGCTACTTTCATTTTTTATAATCGTCCACGCCGTTTGAGATTTGTTAACAGACGTAATTAGTTTATTGTAAAAGCTTTTTTTAGTATTCTTAAGTTGTTTTCCACGGTACTTTCGTATAATTCTCAGAAAAATCACAGGGAATAATTTCTGACTGAAAGAAAGTCAAGTCAATATTGGCAAAAATATTGTCGAATATCATGGATTCGAGTGTATTCGGTTACAGTTTTACTGAACCCGTAACTTGCAAATGTATTTACAATATGAAGGGTCTCGCCTGAATTTGCGTTTCCGAAGTGCGCATTAAAATCACCGAAAATAATATAACATAATATAAAAATAAATAAAAAAAACGAGAAAAAAAATATTGTCTAGGAAGAAAGATTCGTTTTACGAGACCATAATGTTACGGAAGTCGGTCTGGTCGATTCCACGGACGTTCATACACACGATCCACATATTTGGGTGTCCGTCGAGGTGCTCCGGTGGGTTCCTTTGAGATAGCCGATCGAAGAGGCCGGCCATTAATAACGGAAACGCCATTGTTAACCCGTAACCACGTCTAACTCCTCTTTATCATCTGTATCGTGCGTGTCAGTCGACGACATTCCCTTTTGACGTTGACAGATCTCGGAGTGACGGATCAATCCCTAGGGTGACGATGACCGATCGGTCCGCGTCACTGGGGTAGGGCAACCCACTCGTCGATGGCTGTGACGTCGGCGAGTGGGGATCTCGTTAAAGAGGCCAAGGTCTGATACATTAATATACATTGCGCAAAACAAAGTAGGGGAATGTTGCCTATATTGAATGGGAACACATGAAATGAAATGGTTTAAATTAAATAAGAACTAAAAGTTCAGAATTTCACGAAATTATATATTTTTATACATGACAATTGTTTCGACAACACCGTGTAATATTTACAAACTACCTGCTACTATATATACCGAAAAAGGACAATAAAACCTTAATTAATGTTATTGTGAGAATTTAAGTTCAATAAAGAGAAGTATTGAAATCTAATTGATCGTTAAGCAATACATTTCAATGTCTCATTTTGTTAATCTCTATGGCTTCCAATAAATTTAATTTTCTACTTTTTCTGGCTGTATGTAAAACATCAAAATTGTCGTCAAAAATGTGTTTTTCTGTGTTTAAGTGTGTAGGACAATTAGAATCTAGACTATTGTTTTTAAACGCTCTTTTGTGTGTCTGTGCGACTGTATGTCTCTTAAAAATTTAATCCGCCATCGTTATCGGTCTACCATATCACCTGTCATTTCGGGAAATTGGCGTTTAATGTCGGTCCCGCCCAACGCCACTCACAATATTTATATAGGGGGCGCCGTTGCGACTTTGAAAAATGGGCATTTTCGTCAAACGACACATGCCGGTCGGATCAAAGGGGCCGCCGATCCGCCGCCATTTATTCGGACAAAACGACCCACCGCCCGTCAGGACGACCGTCAACTGTCCCAAGCGTTTTGAACAGCTTGCCGACATAAATCGTCCTTCTAACGACCACGGAGACTTTTTGCCGCCCCCAAATTCTTCGATTTTTATATTTAGGGAGTGATTTTCTAGGTGATTTTATTCATAAATTAAATTTACAAATTCAATTCGAAATTTCGTTTTATTGCTTTACAATAGCCAAGGGACTGAATAATAATAATAATATGTAATATACAAGGTGTCCCAGGACATGTACACCATAGCTTGGGAATGTGTTGTGTCAACTGAACATACGAGGTGTGTTCAAAAAGTAAAGTGACTTTTGTAATTGGGGAGGGGGACATTCAACATTCAACAATGAATTTGCATAAAATTTTATGTAAAAAACCCTCCGCGAATTTGTAAAGAAAATGCAAAATAAGTGGTGATGCACAATGATATGTTGGAAGAAAGATGTAAAAATAAAACACGCAATAACTTATGGACTAATGGACTTATGGACGTCACAAATTCAATTCCCAGGATTCTAAAATGAACAGAAGCATCTTCTGTGCAATTGTGTGAAATGAATAATCTTCTATTTTGGATATTTGTAAAGCGAATTCTAAGATAGCAAATTCTATTGTGAAAGTAAAAAAAAAATAAAGTAAAAATATCAGATTTTTTAACATTCCGGAAAATATATCCTATCCTAGACTTTTGAGTGTAATTTTTAAATTTAAAATTTGAGAAGGGCATTTTTTATAGCTCAAGTTTCTTAATCTTTCCTTATCTGGAAGAAAAATGTTGGGTGAAATCTATAATTTACAGGGTCACAAAGTATTTTAATTCTGGAATTTTGGGGTATTCGAAAACAAACGCCTTATATGTCCCAACTTATTTAAAACTTTTCCAAAAAGAATTCTTTTCAAAATGGCGGAAATGTGTCACTCAATTTTTTTAAATTAAATTTAAATTTAAATTAAATTAAATTTTGAGAAGACATCTTTCTATATCTAAAAATTCCAGAAAATATAAATTAAAATTTAAGAGTCCACTATTGCTAGACTTTTGGGTGTGATTTTTTATTCTAGAATTTTGAGAATCGATTTTGTTATAGCCAAAAGTGTTTAATAATGAATATTATTTGTTCTAGAAATATGTACATTTTTCTCTCCTAGAATTTTGAGTGCTTTAAACTGAAAGTTTCCTTTTGAAATGTCAATGTCTTAGTCTTTCCTATTCTGAAAGAAAAATGTTTGGTCAATTCTAGAATTTAAAGGGTCGCATTCTTCTATCCACGTGCCCTTGTTATTCTAGACCCCACACTATTTTCTAAAATTTTGGGATTTTTGAAAACAAAAGCCTTATACGTATAAACTTTTATTAAAACTTTTCCAAAATAATAATTTTTAACAAAATGGCGGAAACGCGTCACTTAATTTCCTCCCGCTTTTCTTCTGAAGGCAGATGCGACGAACGCCGTCCTAGTCTCTTCTGGCGGTCCCAAATGTTGAACGCGAATCTCAGCTCCCGTTTCAGCGATTCCCTCAGCGAGATCTGGGGGGGGGGGGGGCAAATTCGAAGCTTTAAAAAGTCGTTAAAATGTACGCGAGGTGGCTTAAGCACCCGAAGCTCCGCCGCTTTGTTAGCGACCTCGGATGATTAAGTATCCTCTTTCGACCTCATAAATAACCAATCCGACGGTGCGCGAATTAAAAGGCTCATTTAAGTTCGACCAGGTTACGTTTTAAAGTTTGAAGGCACGTGGAGGAATGTTTTCATTTCGGTATTAAATTTGAATTATGCCGAAATACGGAACGTTCCCCGTATCGGTCCTGTGACGTTCTTCGAAAAAGTACCGCAGTCTTTGCTAAATTAAAATTTAAGCGTCATCTTAATTGTTAAAGATAATTTAGAGAGAGTCGAATAAAATTAATTTTTTGTCAACTTAAAGCGTGATTAAGATCTTGGAGTCTAATTTCACGCGACACCCTGTATGTATGTTTAACCCTGACGTTTGAATATGTTGTCAATTCCAGAATTTTGAGAAGATGCTTTGTTACATTTTATAATAGGCGTTTTTGTTTATTTTGGAATTCTGAATATCTTAATAATGTATGTTAAAATATTTTCTATCCTATACTTGAATGTGTTTTCAGTTTAAGAATTTTGAGAAGATACTTTCTTATATTTTATAATAATAATAATTATAAAATATGATTGATTGTTTTCAATTCTTGGATTTTGAGAAGATTTTTTTTGTGTTCTAAAATCCTGAGAAATGTTAGTGGAATATATATTAAAATATTTTCTGTCCTAGAAGTTTCAATGTGTTTTCAATTCCAGAATTTGTTTTTTTATATATCTTAAAATAGACGATTCTTTTTTGTTAATTTTCAGAAAGCTGTGAAATATATTGAAAAAGCAGTTTTTTTTATTCTAGAATTATGAGAAATTTAGAAACTATTTTTTTATATCTAAAATTGAAATTTTAAAAAAATTCTGGAAATCTGTGTAATATTTTCAATGTATTGGAAAATATTTTCTATTCCGGATTTTTGACTGAATATTTCCGATTGTTGTATGTGAGGATGTCTTAAAAATTGAGTTAGATTTTGCTTTTTTAATATTTACGAAAAAATGTTAGCAAACAAAAAAGTCTCTAATAAAAATGAAAATAAGCTTGCTTAAAAAAAATAATTCTGACTGGACTTCTATTATGAGGTTCCGAATTTGAATATAATTTTTTTAGTACTATCAAATTATACTGACATAAAATTAAAAATGCTTTCAGTTCACGCACCGTTTACCTACGTATCTACCAAAAATTGTCAATAGATAAAGTAGGAGAAAAAACAATGGAAATCTTGTTGAAAATTTAACTATTTTTCCCCATACGTGAGACGCCCTGTGTATCGGTATTTCACTCACGTGTTCTCTGACTGCCACCTTTTTCACGTTCCAGAGGAACTCGCAGACGGCAAACAAGAGCGCGATGGCGACACCTACCGCCAATACCACGAAGATGCCACCCACGTTGTCCAGACCTAGTTCGGTGGCGGCCTCGTCAGACGACTGCTTGTCTTCCTGCGTATTGTTAGATCGATATTATAGCAACACACAGGGCGTTTTTTGATAAGCGCCGGTTTTTTGTAAATAATTAAAAAAAAAAAACGATCAAAATCGATTTTTACATGACGTGGTATCACATGTGAACTGAGAAATGTTAGCAGTATATATTTAAATATTTTCTATCCTAGAAGTTTGAATGTGTTTTCAATTCCAGAAATTTGAGAAGATTCTTTCTTATATTTTATAAAAGGCGTTTTTTTATTGTTGGATCCTGAGAATGTTAGCAATATATATTAAAATATTTTCTATCCTAGAAGTTTGAATGTGTTTTCAATTCTACAATTTTAAGAAGATTGTTTATTATATTTTTTTATTCTAGATTTCTGATAATTTTGGTGATGTATATTAAAATATTTTCTATCCTAGACTTTTGAATGAGTTTTCAATTCCAGAATTATAGAGTTATATTTTATAATAGGCGTTTTTTTTTTATTGTAGAATCTTGAGAACGTTAGCCGTATATATTAAAATATTTTGTACCCTAGACGTTTGAATATGTTATCGATTTTTGAATTTTGAGATTTTTTTTTATCTTAAAAGAAACGATATTTTTAAATTTTAAAATCCTGACAATTATATTGGAAAATATTCTCTATCTGAAATGAAAAGTGATGGAAGGTGAAAAGAATTATTATATATGCATGGCACAGTTCACAGTTTTGAAAGAAGAAAAAGCGTTTACCTTTGCAACACAACGAAATTTAGAAATGTGACACAAAAAATTCCGCCATCTTGGATCTGGAAAATGGAAAAAACGGTTCACGTGTGACGGACAATATTTTTATATATATAAAATCAGCAATCAGCGTTAAATAACTTTCGAAAAACTAAAAAAAAAACAAAAAATGGTAAAAAATTAGCAAACGGAGAGCTATGGCACAGAACATTCGGCCATTTCGCAGCTTTCACTTACCGCACATTGTCCTCCCCCGTTCATTTCCTTCCACCATTTTTCCTTGAGGCGGTGCAGCGTGCCCATCTCCTGCATTTTCAAGATGGCCTCGTTAAACGACTTCCGGTATTGAAAATCTAAATTTAATCGGTTATTTTAGCTAGCGGTTCGATCTCAACGTTAATATCGTTGGATAAACCGTTCTGTTTCGGGCTTTAATTTAAAGAAAATATTTCGGAGGTTACTCTGAAATAGGTAAAGCGAGTCATCCTTCGTTTTTCTCGCATTTTAATATATCTGAAATGATTGTGAGAGTTTCAGCCATAGGAACTTTAGTAAAGAGGCGTTGTACGTCACTACTAACTAACCAGAATATCTTTGTGTATCTAATGTGATGCGTTTTATTTGTTCAATGAAGTCAAAGGAATTAAATAGGAAGCTGTCAGTTTTCCCAGTAAAGGGTTTTAAAAGGATGCTAGATATTTTGCTAGACAAAGCAAAGCAAAGGGCAAAGCAGTTCTCCCGTGAAGTATTTTATTTTTTTTAATGAGATTTGGGATGTGGCCACTAGGTGGCGTTTTCCGGCATAATCGCAAACAAACCCTGTCGTACGATCTAAAAAAAATATGGGTGCACTAATAAATTAAGAATAAGATTATCTGGGATACAGATTCCTGTTTTTTGTTAAATCTTTTGGCACTGCTACCGAGTGTACTGTTGATACCGTTGATACTGAAATTCTTTGTCAAAAATTCTTATGGTTTTGTTCTGATCTTTTCGCCTTGCACTTTCCTTCTCTTTTGAAACACGTATTTCCCAAGCAGTGAAAAAGTCCGTCGCCCCTCAGTGGTGTGTCAATTGTGCGATTTCAGTTACTCAAACCGTCTTTCAATTTTCTGTTTAGTTCGGAGTCATTTATTAGCAGACGAAAGTAAATTTTTCCCATTGAGGATGGCTTAAAAAAGCACTCATGTAGACTACTTAAACATGCAATAGGCCGAGAAGAATAACTAGAGCTGAACACTTGGCTTTTCTTTTTTTAATCATATGTAATTTAAATTGAAAAAGGACAAACTTTGGAAGAATAAGCATGACCTTGAGATATTTCTGTAATAGAGGACGGTTCAGGAGAATTGACTGAGTGGATGGAGATGTCGTGATATGTCAGAATTTATGACAGGCAGGACATTTAATAGAATAAGAACAATGCACTGAAACTAACCAAAACCAGTGAACGGTTGTGTCGCGATAGGCACAAATACTTACAGTACAGTACAGTGCAATTTTATATGCTTATATTTTGTCCTGGAAACTGTAAATCAAACCGATGCTTCTAAACTAAACTTTTTCGCCAATGTTTGTTGCTGCAAATTTGTTTTATTTTCTCACCTTATTGCTTTATAATTGTATTTTTATAAGGTTTGTTTTTTCTTCTCTTCCATTAACATTTCATTTAAAAAAGTTACCAAAACAGCAAGTTAGGACAACTTTAGCGATTAGACTGCTATTTTGGCTGAAGGCGCTTGATTAAGATTCACAAACCCTTCGATCTATTGTCAGCACCATTGGTTAACTATCTAGCTTCTAGTTTAAAACCCTTTACAGTGAAAACTGATAGCTTCTCAGTTAATTTCCTTTCATTTCATTAGTTAGTTTCTCCTTGAGTACAGAAAATATTCGTAAAAGAGAGGCAGGTAATAATAATAACGAAAGTTCTTCTTCGCCTTCTTCATTTTCTAAACAGCACCACAAAGGCACTGCTTCCTCCATGATAATCTATTGAAAACTGAAAATTGAAAGATGTCGCTCCAGTGACACTCCACCTTAATACTGATATTGAAGGTTTGTTCCAGTTCCAAAATTATGATTTCCACGTATTTGAAGTTTGTACACGATGTCAGTTAAAATCGTTTTGTTTGTTTAACCCGGCAGTGCACGCACGAGCGTCGATAAACTCTCTGGTGACGCCCCTGGTTTATTGTCGATAATAATCACCTTCTCGGAATGGCCTAGGCGGTTTTTCCACTAACTGGTGCAAAAATATTTTAGTTTTCGTTGGATTGTCTAAATAGAGGTCGTATTTTTTTTTTGTAAATATTACCGAAAGTTTATTGTATTTTTGTTCTCTGCGTCATTTTTTTAATTTCTAAAAATTTAAGTATAAAGTTTTCAATATATATTTTTTTAATTTGTAGATTATGTATTCATATGAGAAAGAAACCAAATGCCTGATGAATGATGAAATTGAAAGTGATGAAGAGATAGGTGGACTTCCTGAAGACGAAGACGACGTTTTGGAGACTAACGATCAAGACTCTAATTTAGAACAATCAGTATCAATGTTATTTGGAGGAGAAATATAGTGACTCACTCTTCTGGTGTAATTGGAAGAGCCAAACAAACGAAAACTATTCTAGAAGCTTGGCAATTGTATTTTCCCGATTTTGTCCTAGAAAAAATAGTGAAACACACAAAAAAATACATTCAGAAGCTTAGAGCAAATTCTAGTAGGGAAAGGGATGCCACTAATACTCCTTTATTTGGATGGAGTCTTGCGGTTATCGCATCTTCACTTGAGAGATCTGTGGGCAAATATAGAGAAGAACGAAAAAAAAAAAGAAGTTAGCTCCTATCAATCTAACGATTGATGAAATGCTTGAGTCATTTCGTGGCAGATGTGGATGTCGTCAATATATTACTGAAAAAACACAGGCTCACTATGATGGGAACAATTCGAAAAAACAAAAGAGATAATAATAATGACTTCGGTGTCCTACAAGCCCAAGCAAATCAAAATAGTGACTTTATTGAGATCGATCGAGAGTGAGGTGTTGTTGTTGACGAGCTAAAAGGAACGTACTCGGTCTCACGAAAAAGTTGTCGATGGCCTCTTACATTATTTTTTACTTCGCTGAACATATCAGCAATAAATAGCCATTTAGTTATATAAGCCATCGACAGCCATGAACCTTATCACTCCCAACTCGAGCGTCGCAGAGAAATGCCAATGTTACCAGTAACAATGAAGAATCGCATAAAAGAAATATCACGTGCTGTAGAAGAACTCTCGGGAACTAACCAATATAGTGTTAAAGGCAGATTGATCGTCCAAGAAAAACAGAAAAACTTAAAATTGGGATACATACTAGTGGTCATTGCGATTCCGTAGCCTTTGGAATCGATAGGTCCGCCCACTTGCATAAGATCGCACTGCCTCTCGATTTCGTACTCGATAGTAGCACTCTCCATCAGGAATGCGTAGGTGCGTTTGCTACTCAACACCCTCTTCACACCGTCCGCGTTACTACGCTCGAAAACCGTAGGATCGGCCGACTCCATTTGGATCCACATCTGGTGGTAGGTGGAGAAGTTGGTGTCCTTGAAAAAGGAGCAAGTCGATCCACCTGTGAAAAAGAAATTCGTCATTGGTGGCACCGGGAGGTCCGACGTCGGCCTCGCTAACCGGCCAGGCAGCCGTATTTAATTTTGGTTTGGCCTGCGAGATCTTCGGCACGTTCTATGGTCGGACCCATCCTTTCCATGGTGAGGAAAGCCGCCATGTTCGCCGTATACGATGCGGTCATTATCAAAGAGAAGAACCACCACATGGCGGCCGCCATCCTAGTGGATATTCCCCTGAAATAAGAGCGTCAAACTGCGATTAGAAAGGAGAAAAAATTGAAAAAGAAAAACTAACTAAAAATTACTAAAAAATAATAATACTGAAAGTAATAAAAATGCTGTAAGTTTGAGGAAGTCTGTAAAAGTGAAGAAGCTAAAGAATCGAGAAGATCTATGAGTTAAAATTATAAAGCAATAATAATGACAATAGTAAAAGTAATATAACTGCTCTAATTATAAGAATGTAAAAAAAATACAAATATCTTCGAAGAAAGACTCAACAAAATTGTCCCAGGGGTAAAGATACCAAAACATTCCACCATTAGCTCAGAATGTCACAGAACAATCTGCAAAACTACAACACTACAACAATTCACCTGTACTTCATGCCAAGAATAGGTAAGCACTATATAAAAAATCAATTTCGATTGCAATCATATTTTCAAAAATTATATCAAAAACATGAGTGTTCTTTTTTTTGCTTGAGATTTGAATATCTTTTTCTTCTGTTACAGGTGAAGATAGTATTATGAGAATCCTATTTCCACATAATAGACTTTTTGTTCCAATGTGTTTTAATGTTTTTTTTTTGTTCTAATGAACGTTTGTTTTTGTTTATATAAAAATGAAGCTGTTGCTTATTTATGTACCAATGCTTGTATTTTTTTGAAATATAAGTGTCTTTTTCTAAATATGTATCTTCTGTATACTCATATATTCATCAAAAATAAAAAAATCACAAATTACATTCAAATAATTCCCACAGGCAATTAAAAATTGGGGGGGTCCTTTGTGACCCCACGATTGTAGTTAAGTAAGTATAAATGGGAGATAGTAGTTCAGGGTTGACTTTGTACTTTTTCTGCGGAAATGTAGAACAAAATTCTAGAAGAAACGACCAGGTATTTAAAGCCTTTAAAATCTTCTGCAATTCTCCTAAATTTCCTGTTTCTCCAAATACTTTTTTAAAAGCGATGTTTAAAAGTCTTCAAATACGGAACACCGTTTGATAAGAGTCGGAAACTCGGCGGCGTCGTCAAACGCGACGCGTGCCAATATGGCGGCTCCCAGTTTACTACGAAACCATTTGCCCGATTAGCGAGAAAGCTACGTGCCGCCTTCAAAGGCGCCGCCGCTCCAACTGAAATATTACGGAATCTGGCCGATAATGATCGCCATCTTATCTGCGGGCTCGACATGTACCGGGCGTTTCTTGATCGCCGACCAAGGCACCGAGGTTCCTTTGAAACGACCGTTATGACGAAGAAGACGAAGAAAACGAAGACGTCATTTTTTTTTGAGGTCATAGGATAGTTTATGACGAATAATAGTCTATTTTCCAACAAGTGCGGTAAACCCGACCCAAAACTGAACCATCTAACTCAGATTTCTCAAGCCTTGTTGGACGTAATCTATGCTAATCAACCTAATATTACTACTTCCTCTTTAGTTTTGCATCATAATTTTCCTGATCATCTCGCAGTTCTTTGCCAAATCAAATTTGCAGCCTTCCGTCAATCGCCATTGCTTCGATCCTATCGATGTTTTCGGAATTTCAATTATCCCTTGGCATCTCATTATCCACGAAAATAATATTGATCAGAAGATAGATCTGTTCAAGAAAAATAGGCATATTTGTCTTACAATTTCGATTCTAGTAATTCTAAATTTTTTTAAAGTTTAAAGTTTGTAATCGACCGACTTCTGAAATTCCTTCTAACTTAATAATGTTAATCATTATTTTACTTCTTTTACCACTTCTTCCTATAAAAATCGCAAGTTCAACTCGAATATATCAATGCATTTAAAGTCTATTGACTCAATTAAAGCCATTATTTCAAACTTTAAGTCAAATTCTGTTGGTGTTGATTGTGTATGGTCTGTTCATAGATATAAGAAAGTGATCAATTGCTTTCGAATGGGATTATAAAAGGGTGGCCATTAACATACAACGCAACAAGATTATTACCTACAGTTTCGGAATTTAAATTCATGTAAAATTGTGGTCGGTAATAGAACATAATTTTATACCTACCTGTGTTTAATATTATTTGATTTGGTATACTACTTAGTTTAAGTTGGTTCGACACGTATGATACCCCGGAAAAGCGTTATTTATATTTATTTAAAATATTAAAGATTCTTCTCTTAATTACCATAAAGACATCACCGCTGATTTATTTCAAAGTTGGTTTAAAAACAAACTAGTTCCAAACATTCCTCCTAATAGCGTAATTGTAATTGACAATGCATCACAGTAGAAAGTCGACTAAAACCTCTTCCTCATGTGACACAAAAGCAACAATCCAAAACTACATGTATAATAACGACATTTATTTTCACGAAGATTATACCAAAAAGCAATTAATTGAGGTTCTACAAAGCTTGAACCTACAAAAGGAATACGTCTGTGATAATTATTCAAAAAATCTAGGGCATACAGTTTTAAGGCTTCCACCTAACCACTGTATATTTAATCCCATTGAACATGTTTGGCACCAACTGAAATCTGCCATTCGTCGTAACAATGTTTTTCCACGTGTTGACTCCAATGTCCTCAAACTTATAGAAACCGAAGTTTTTAAATTCCGTTAAACATATAGAAAAAGCAGAACAATCGTATATCCATATTGCAAATAATATAGAACAAATAATAATTAGAACAGGCGATGATAACGATAGTGATACTGATATATTATGTGAACAATTTTAAGTAATTTAAGTAGGTAATAAAAATAATTTGTAATTTTATTTTAGATTTAAACATAAATACATAAATAAATATTGTTTAGCATCTTTCCTAACAAAACCCCAAATAATTAAATTCTAAGCAAAGTACGGACCTGTTCGGCCATATTTCATTCTTACAGCTTGCCCGGCTCTTTCCTTTCGTTTGTCACTTTCTTATATCTATGAACAGACTTTACCTGCTAGAATGCTTCAGATGACCCTCCATATTAAGAAAGTCATAAATGCACAAATTTATGATGATGTTATTTCCAATCATATTGGCACTAACAGTCAATCTGGATTTCGTAACAGTTTTAGTCCTATGAGTCTACTTTTAAACATCGCATTCTTAATTCTTTAAATAATGATCTTGCGACTGCGCTTATATCTTTAGATTGCTCTAAAGCCTTTGATCGGCTTGACGATAAACTTATGTGCGCCGAATTGAGTTACGACGACTTCGATGATGTTTCGATTCGATTTTTTGAAAACTACTTAGTTAACAGATATCAGAGAGTTACCATTGACAACGTAAGTTCTGACTTTCTCCCTATTTCATCAGGTGTACCGCAAGGTTCTGTTCTCGGACCCATATTATTCTTAATTTATAATTCTGATATTTGTACATCCATCGAATATTTGAATTTGGATTCATTTTCGGATGACACTCAGCTATTTTACTTCTTCGATCCTAAATTATTTCATATTGCTTCAATTTATATCAATTTGGATTTGCATAACTTATTTCTATATTTTTCTAAGCATAATCTTCAACTTAATGTGAAAAAATGCAGTGCATTGCTCTTTTCTCCTAAACATTCAACAAGTATCTCAAATGTATTTATTAATTAGCGGTGAACGTTTGAAAATTATGAATTGTAATAAGAACCTTGGTATTTTATTTGGTTGTAGACTTAGATTCGTGGTGTTGGTGAAAAAGTTTTATTTGGTTTTGCGCCTTAATTTCAGTTTACGGAAACTTTTAGCTCGATCCTTTCGATCACTTACGAGCTCAGTTACAGTTTCTTAATGTTCAATCGGTAGCTTTAAGGCAACCCTACAAACTTTTTATTCCAAGATATCGTTTACCTTTCTCCACAGTGCTTTGTTTTTATAACGCTGTTGTAATTAATTTTTCAAAGAAACTGTACAGGCTACTGTAATGCTTTACATCCATACGAGCCAGTTTCAGTCAACCTCTGAAGAAGCCAACAGGATGATTGGCGAAACGTCAGCAATTTCGACTAAGCAAAAACCGACGCCGAAAAAGCTGTTGTAATTTTTAATATTGCACCCGATTCAGTAAAATGTTTTTAATGTAATGTAAAGTATGTTATTCTTTTTATTTTTACTTTTAGTAATTTTATATTGTTCCATATTACTATTACATTACACTATATTTAATATATCAATGTGTTTATAACTTCCTATTTAGTTTTCAATTTAAACATTTAAGAATTTAAGTGGAGTAGCTTTTGCTAGACTTCGCCTCTTTACTGTATATCTGTATATAACAATATACAACAATAAACGTAATTTATTATTATGATTTATTTGGCTGGGGTGCTTAACAAATTGAAAATAATAACAGATCATCAGACTACTAAATTTCGTATTATTCAAATAACATATTTACCATTAAACCTACTCGTTTATCGTTCCGATCGGTTCTGCTATTGTTGTCTCTGTTTAACTGTGCACGTTAAACAGAGAGATATGTATTATTCGATATGTCATATAAACAACGGAATAAACACAAATTTAAAACGTTATGTTGTTTGCTTAGATCGGTGTGTAATTAAGCGATATACAGACGGGAGTAGAAAAACTTATTTGAGGCTCACTTGGGCAAGAGGTCGCAGCCTTGCTGCATGATGGAGCCCAGCGTCAGCCAGAAGCAGTTCCTGATCGTCCAGATGTTCTCCAGCTCTGTGGGACGCGGGTCGCACGGGTGGGGATTCTCCCAATCGTTGGGGTTGATCCTGAAACAAGACCCATCTAATAGTAACTAACAAAACCAAAAAGTTCGTACCATGACCTTATCTCTGGAATTGTAAAGACAGTGTGGTTCCTTCTGTGTGATTAAATGCATATGATCACCTATCTTCTTCAGTAGGAAAGCATGAAAACAAATAAATATATAGTCTTACACTGTATTTTTTTATCGGTATTATTATAATGATAACATGATCATAATTTTGGTTAGTCGGTTACTGATTTTCGGTTTATTTGAACAATTACGGAAACAACAGGGTCTATCTGTTAGCAAAACTTTAAATAAGCAGAAAAATAAGCGTTTATTTTACAGTTTTTTTATTTGATTTTTGAAAAAAGAGTGATTTGCACTTACAAATTTTGTGAATTTTTAGGAAAATACATGTTAAAACTTGACAGAGCTTATCGAACATAAAATTAATCTGTGGTCTGATATTGTATTGTCAACGTCAAAGGTATTACATGAAAAATTCGAAAAAAGATGCCGCTAGTGTTTCGGTTAATCCTGCATTTGTCGGGCCTAAACTTCATACCAATGTAAGTGCTAAAGCGGCCGACCCTTCCAATACAGTTTCAAGTGAGTAGCCTTTATTTACACTTTATATACATACACATACGATTAGATAAAGTCTACAATAATAATAGGTATAACGACGTAATACATAACACATAAAAACAAACAGGAATAAAAAAGAAAAAAAAGGAAGGTACCGAACACAACCAGAGTAAAAACAATGCTCCAAAAAAAAATGATTATATTTCGGTTTTAAAATTTGCAAATACCAAGTTTGTGACTTTATTTGGAATTAAGTTATATAAACTTAGGTCAATAGAACTTTTCATGCTTTTAGTGTATTTAAACTTTCTAGTTCGAGGCAAATTTGAGGAGGAAGTGTGATTATCCGAGTGAACTGAAAACATATTTTTTGAGTTTTGAATTTCTAATACCGTGTGATGTATACCGATGGCAGTGGCATAAATCCAACATTATGAAACAGCGGTTGACGATGGTCTCTATATCCTGCGTTGGATATAATTCTGATCGTCCTTTTATGCATACGTGAAATTTTTATGGAATCTATTGAGTGTCCCCACAGTATAACAGCATATGATAAAATTAAATGAAAAAGAGCAAAACTTTTTCAATCGTTATAACAAAAAGTTGACACTTGAGAGGCGTTTTCCTAAATAAGTAATATGGTCCTTCCAAGAAAGCGTATCATCCATCAAAATAAATAGGAACGTGTCTTTATCAAATGTAATATTCACAAACTACCTGCTACTATATATACCGAAAAATGACAATAAAATCATAATTAAGGTTATTGCGAGAATTTAAGTTCAATAAAGGAGAGGTATTTAAATCTAATTGATCATTAAGCAATACATTTGAATGTCTCATTTTGTTAGTCCAATAAATTTAATTTTCTACTTTTTGTGGCTGTATGTAAAATATCAAAAGTGTCGTCAAAAATGTGTTTTTTTTTGTGTTTAACTGTGTAGCATAATTACAATCTAGACTATTGTTTTTAAACGCTCTTTAATGCGTTTCTCCTTCTTTCCTCTGTTTGTCCAATATAAATTTTAGGACAAGATCGGCATTTCAACCTGTAGACACCTGATTTTTGAGATTTTGGACATTTCGTCTTACTGTTTTTTAAAAAAAAAATTCCTAGTGTGTTGTTAGTTCTGAAAGCTATTTTTAAACCACATTTTGACAAATGTTTTGAAACTTTTTCACTGGGGTTTAAATTGTCCGTGTTCTGTATTAGGTTTCGGATAAATAGAGTTTACTGTTGTCTGGATTTGTTTTTTATTTATAATTTTATCGATAATGGACGGATTGTAGCCGATGTTGAGTGCAATTTGTTTAATGATATTAAGTTTTTTGTTGTAATTTTCTGTTGAGAGTGGCGTATTAAGAAGTCTGTGTATAAAAGAGTGAAATGCAGCAATGTGTGTATAAGGGTGATTTGAGCTGTTATGTATGACAGTGTCAGTGTGTGAAGGTCTATGATAAATGGAAAAATCTAATTTGTTTTGCATTTTCGAAATAGTTAAGTCTAAAAAATTAATAGAGCTATCATGTTCAATCTCGATAGTGAATTTTATACGATTAAGTAATTTAAAAAAGAATTCAATTGTCTGTCCGTTCCAACAAACCAAGCAAAGACATCATACATATACCACCATGGAAAACTTTTACTTAAAGGATGTTCTAGTACGATATTTTCGAAATTATCCATAAAAATCTCGGCTAACAAAGGACTAATAATCAAACCTTCCTTAGAGATGTAAATCTGTCCATTAAGTTCAAAATAATTTTGGTCTAAAGATGCTATTAAGCAATCTAATAAATCTTGTTTCAGCAATAGGTTAACCTGTGTCCTAGTTAGGGTGAAATCTACTAAATCTATCACATCCATAGGTGGAATACTGGGAAATAAGTTTTTTACATCAAAAGGCAATAGCGGTGCGTTAGAAGGGATTTTGATATCTTTAACTTTGTTGATTAATTCAAAAGAATTTTTTATTGCAAATTTTAGTTTAAAACCCGTGTAGAACTTTAAAATATTTTCTAATTTTGTTGGGAGTTTAACTGCTAGACCTGTTACTTGAGACACGACTGGTCTAATGGGCATATGATGTTTACACTCTTTTATACACATACTTCTTAATACGCAACTCTCAACAGATTGCACTCAACACAAGGCTACAATCCCTCAATTATCGATAAACTTATAAATAAAAAAGTAAATCCAGACAACAGTAAACTCTAATTATCAGAAACCTAATACTACATTACATATATAGGAGAACCCAGTGAAAAAGTATCAACGCATTTGTCAAAATGTGCATTACATTTCGTAAACCTGACATTTTCTTATTGCAAAAAACTGCTTGCTTTCTGTTAGGGAAATAAGAGGGTAATACCTCTAGGGCAATTCGTTCCAAACAATAAAATTCCAGTTTTTCCATTAAAATTGAATGACTGACATAGTCAAAGGTCTTGGGGAGGTCACACGGCGTTAAAATGCTATGCTCACCCCCCCGAAAGCCCTCAACTATACCAGCGACTATTCGTAATAGTGCCTAGTTGGTGGATTTATCTAATTATTTTACTCAAAATAATAAGATAGTTCAGAATACATATTTTGTTGGAAACTATTGGGATAATTGGCACAACTTTAGGCATTTTATCATTATAGGGACCATACTAGGCCTATGTAATACAGCTAAAACTGCAATTCAATAATGATTAATAAACAGAGGACAGCTCGCTTCCTCGGCAAACTTTTCGGGCCTCAAAACGCGAGAAATTTTGCTTACATTAAAGAGTCGATAGAGCGTGTAGCAGAACCGCGACGAAGTTCCCGCTTGTTGATTTCGTCCTCGTCCGACATTAGTTAAAATACGTAACAAAGTTTCCCGTGCAACTTTGTTTCGAGAACTCCGAAGTGCCGCCGAACTTTGAACTTAAGCCGTCGTTGTTCGCAACTTACTTAACGCTCGACCCAAGATGTCGGACTTTTATAGGTACGGCGTGTTCGATAACTTGGCGATTATGTACCGGGCGTAAAAATAAGATTGTTAAAAAGTTATTCTTAGTGACAGTATTTTTGATAATACCCTTAGTTTGAAAAAAAACAGATCGATATAGCGTATTCGACAATTCGCACAACATTTCAAACGCAAACATGGACAACTTGTCATTCGGAACTATCACAGAATACAGAAACCAAAACAAAATCATCATATGTACCTGGTGTCTTGTTTCAAAAACAAAGTATTTAGGAGCTTATTTACAGAGTTAATATTGTTGCAGTTTGAAAAAAGATTTCGATATACGGGTTTCGCCAAATTTATAAGCTTTTATTCCCATCACACAATGTCGCTCTTAAAAGTAGCTATACAGCGCCCCCTAGCGTCAAGTGCCTTGCCTTTTTTACGAGTTAAAATATAGAGTGCTCGTTTTAGAACGTTTCGGAACTTCCAGAGAATACAGAACCCAGAACAAAGTAATTCATATTCTTCTTAACCTGACCCTATGACCAATAGAATTCCTAGGGTTGTTATTCTTGCAAATACCAAATTTAAAAGTTTTTATTCCTAGCAGAGAAAATTTTACGTTGCCTTTAAAAGTTGCTAGACAGCGCCCTCTAGCGTCCATCGTCAAACGCCTATTGTCTTTACTACTAGGTAAAATATAGAGAACTCTATTTGGAATGTTTTAATGAATGAATGTTTTAAGAACCTAACCTTATGGCCCATAGTATAGGACATATTTTGTACCGGGGTTTTGACAAACAAGTTTCAAAAAGAAGATAAGATTTTCGCCAATGTTCTAATGTTGCGTTCTCATCACACAAAACTTCATATTTGAAAGTTAAAAATTGATAAGCAGCGCCCCCTAGCGTCAAACACTCATTGTCATTTTTACAAAGTAAAATATAGCTTATTAGAGGAAACCTAAACAAAGTTAATCATTTTCTTAACATATTATATACCGGGTATCTGGAAAAACATTATGTTTCAAAAGAAGGTGTTAGAGAGACTTTTTTTAGTGTTGATATTTTTGCAAACATCTTGTCTTTCAGAACTGCTACGGAATACAGAACCTAGAACAAGTCATTCTTCTTCTTTTTCTTCCTAAGCAAACTTTATGGACCATAACATAGTCCATATTAAATAAACCACAGTTCTTTTAAACGAGACCCGACGCCGAATTACAAATATAGAAATCGCGCCCTCTATCGGGCTTTCCAGGAACATTGGTTGCTTATGGTCCGAGGAATAGTGAAAACTGCTGTCACAAACTCTGCAATATTTTTTATAGCAATTTCTACCACCGCTGCTTCGTTATTTGCAAATGTTTGCATGGGAAGTCGTCCTTTAAGAAAAATAACAAAAGCTTACCTGGCAACCAGGAAAATGATCATGGAAACCACAAGGTAGGCGGTTGCCATGTATAACCACACGTCTAAGGACAAGGGATGGCTGAACGATAGCAGTTCAGGAGGTTCCTTGACCGCCCTAGCGTAAAGAACACTGATGCCTGAAAAAAATGCCTGCCATGACATCTCGGTGGATGCGCCGAAGTCCAAAATTCTAGTGCATTTTTCCTCACCTAGGGTCATGAAAGGCATCGTAAAATCGACGGCCCTTCGTCTCTCGTAGGTGATGGTCAGGTCGCAGATGGCCAAGTCAGCTTTCTGGGAGGAAAAAAACAACTTTTGACGTACTTGACGTACTTTGTCAAAGGCTTTTCGGTAATCGATGAATCCTAAATATACATCTTTCTAATACCGAAATGGGTGCTTGTCAGTGCCATATCACATTTCCGAACACAACGCTTTGGGTGATTTACTTTTGGCAAGGTAACGAACGTCGATTTAATAAATCTACTGAAATGGCGATGTAGTCTTTATCGATAAGTTTTATTAGTTATGTTGGGATTTCGTAGAGTCCTGTTTTACTACTTTTAATAGCATATATGTAACATCTGTTTTTGTTATGAGTCCTACATGTTAGTTTTTCTTACAATGAGAACCAGGAATTTGAATTAATGTAAATAAATAATATAAATTTTCTAGAAACTAGAGGAATTTTTGTTTTTTCCTGCAAAAATCAATAAACTTTACGGTTTTTCAATAGTTAATTTTTGGTAAGAAAAAGTGTATAAAAATGAATATTTCTTGTATTTTGGAAATGCTCTCGCGAACTGAACCCCAGATGTTATCTTCCATCATATTTTTTCATTATATTCTCGTTTTTCACAAGCACCAAAAAGCTTTGTGAAATCATTATTTTTCATTAATTTTTTTATTTGTGCTTCAATGAAAATAACATTAGGTGCCAATAACTTCGGAAAAAATTCAGAGCTTTTTACTTCATTAAGCCCTATTTCTTCCATTTCCATTTCCATTCCAGGGGTATTTAGTATATCCACCTTGCATTCCAATCAGAAAGCCCACCATTTTAAAATCCCCCTCACTGGTCATTCGTATTCTGTGCATTTCAATTTTTCTAGCATTACTTCCAAGCTGTCATAGCTTTCGTTCAACTATACAGAATTTGCTAGAGCAAGACTAGACCTCATCATTGTCGTTGTGGAGCAGGACTGCTTCTAAAATTTTTGAAGAGCTATCGACAAAAAGCCACCAGTCAGCAGATGCTTCCATTGCTTTAGTAGTGAAAATAGAATTTCCGTTTTAATCTTGTATAAGTTCAAGCCTCGAACTTTAGCATTTCACTTTTGTGACGCTTCAACTTGAGAGCTATCTGAACGTGATGGCACAGGCATGTGGCACAGGTAAGGGGGAAGGAAGATCAGTATAAAAAAAATCAGCAATTTCACCAAATCGACGCTTACCCAATTTTGATCCTGATTACCGATTTTTTACTTCAAACTTTAAAGAATTCAAATCAAATAAAATAAAACAAAATGGATCGAATATTTATACTGTCCTCGTGCCATTTTGTGACTGAGTAATACACAAATACAGGTGTTACAGCTGAAACAGACCAGTTAGTACTAACTTTGATGCCACTTACAAGGTCAACCAAAATGCTGCCATCTTTAGCTTGTAAAATGACTTAAAGTTAAAAAAAAAAGTAAAATCGCCACGCAGAGAGAATAGGTGAAGAAAGATTACCAAAGCAAATTCTAAAATGGACACCCACAGAAAGAAGGAAAGACCTAAGCTAAACGGAATACACCCAGCAATGTCAGAAAGGAGACTGGGAAGATCGAAATGAATGGAAACTGGGAAGCAGAAGACGTAGGACGCTACAGGACTGGACATTATATATATATATATATATATATATATATATGATGACACTATATTCCGGGATATCATCCGTTCGCTCGTTGAACTCCGACTGGAATCCTGCATCCGACTGGAATCCTGCAAATCCTGCATCCGACTGGAATCCTGCAGACGTTTCGCCAAAATCTCACTTGGCATCCTCAATGCTCGCGCTCCGAAAACACTTCGAACACTCGGAGCGCGAGCATTGAGGATGCCAAGTGAGATTTTGGCGAAACGTCTGCAGGATTCCAGTCGGATGCAGGATTTGCAGGATTCCAGTCGGATGCAGGATTCCAGTCGGAGTTCAACGAGCGAACGGATGATATCCCGGAATATAGTGTCATCATATTTTTCCATCCGTGAATCAATACGTGAGAATATATATATATATATATATATATATATATATATATATATATATATATATATATATATATATATATATATATATATATATATATATATATATTTTATATTTCACTTTTCAAAAATAACTTTTTAAAAAAATATATTTATTAATTTTAAATTAAAATAAAAATCAAAATGAAATTGGACGTAATAACCTCGTGACGAGAGAATGTTATTAGACCGTTAAAATCAAACTAAAAATGGACATAATAACCTCGTGATGAGAGAATGTTATCAGACCGTTAAAATACAACTAAAAATGGACATAATAACCTCGCGATGAGAGAATGTTATCAGACAATGTTTTACAACAGAAATTCGTATTTATAATAAATTTATGCTGACGTTGACGGGGTCGACGGCTGCGGATGTTGCGACATATCGTTGACACGACGTTTTCGCAATCGTTGCACTCTTGCAGGTCGGTGGCATTTAACCCATGTGGACAATAGGATTTCCGGATATAACAGCTCCCCCATTAAGTGAAAAGGTGGAGCCTAGCTGCAGCTTTTCGTAGACTAATTAAAGCGTAGCTTCTCGGTCAGTTACTTCTGGGTGGATGCTAGTCCGTCTTTTCGGAGTTAGTGATTTGAGTTGCATCGGGAGCAGGGGTCTTCGACTTGGCTTCGGAGGTTGTTGGGGATCGTTACCATCGGCGATGCTGAGTATTGTCGGTTTCTTTCTCCGGCATTTGCAAATGAAACAGCAAAGTATTAGTTTCAGGGGTTTCAACTCTGGGGGTTGAAACTGGAATTTGAGAACAGCAATCATATGGAATCTTAACGGCGTGGCTCTTGTAGGTCACGTTCTTATATTCTTCGACACAGTGTTTAGCTCGTACTCTGGAGCTTCCAATAAATGCACTCGAATTTGTTTGCAGCTTTTTAGATCTTCAGGTATTACATAGAGTAAAGAATCGTCATCACGCGCAAAATATTTTATTATTGTTGCAATTATATGAAATAAACGTGTTCGATTGTCCAAAATTGGAATAGGTAAAACACGATGCAATGTGTATATTTTAGGTTCTATTAAGGGAATTCTTGATACAAAAACAATTTTATTTTCAGTTTGAAATGCTTCTAGCTCCATAATATCTACGTACCTTGCAATGCTCGAAGTATAGGGTGGTAGTGATAAATTATTTTTTTTTTTGTCAAGGATTTTGAAATTTCCTGAAGAGAAATGACTAAATCTCGTGGGTAAATAATAGAGCAATGTAAAACTTTGATTCGTGTGAACGTGATTGCGTTTAATATATCGCTGAGGTAAGACTCTAGGTATACATAACCTTCCGTAAAGCTTTCGCAAAGATTAAGTGTTTTAATTTGACATTCGTAAAATGCTACGGTGTCCGAAATATCATAGAGAGATTTTTAAATTTGAGTTAGATCTTGATTAAAAGTTTCTTCGTCGATTCGGAGAGTTTAAATTGTAGAATTAAAGATTTTGTTAATTTATTTATACATTCATTAAAGTATTCGCCGTCTGTAGAGTCTAGGTTTCCGGTAATTAATTTAAAAATAGTTCTTACACCGTTAATTAAACCGCGTTTAGTTCTAAAATTAAAATTTTCAGTGTTGATAGTAATTTCTGAAAATTTCTCTTCGACTGAGTCAGCAATTATAGTTAGAAGACTAAAATGAGTTTGGATACTTGTTTTTAAGGCTGTCGTACGAGGAAAAGAATCGTCTAACATTTTTTGTGAGAGAGGAAAGTATTTTGTTATTATGTCGTATGGTTTCTCGCAGAGGTTTTAGTTTTTTTTTTTATAAACTAGCAGCTTCCATTTGTTGTTGGATACTTTTAGACTACTTTCTTCATGGTATAAGATGCCTACTGTATTATTTACTGGAGTAATGAGGATTTGGGGTGCGACCGTAGAGATCAGTCCCAAGATCTTGAAAGAAATTTAATTTAATCGTAATAAGGTTTAAACTTGTCAAAATTAAATTTTGAAACTTGTTCGGTAGCTAAATTTTTGACAGTGGCTGAAGTTTCAAATACTTCAAGAATTTCATACGGACCGTTAAATTTATTCTGAGCTTTATCGTTAATTTGAGTTTCCTTAACATAAACTTTATCTCCTACATTATATTTAGTCATATTTCTAGATATTGCTTGATCAAATCTTACTTTGGATTTTTGTTTTTGTTGATCAGTGCGGGTACGCGCGACTCTGTAATAATGCTGCATGCGATTATTTAGGTCTCGGATATATTTGGTGATGAGTTGTTCTTCATTATACAGAATTTCTGGAGGCCTACTAGAAGTGTGCCCAAATATTAGTTCATAAGGGGAAAAACCATGCGTTTTATTCTTTGTGTTGTTGTAGCAGATTATTGCGTATGGAAGAGCATGAAAGGGGTGTTCTTTTGGATTTTCGGCTTTATGAGCTCGGATCATTTCTGTGAGCGTGGCATGGAATCTTTCTAGTGATCCATTAGATTGTGGGTGGCTAACGCTGGAGAAAGTTAACTTTATATCGTACAAAAGACAAAGATCTTTGACGAGGGAGTTATCAAATTCCCGGCCATGGTCACAATGTATTCTAAGAGGAGTTCCAAAATGTTGGAAGTAGAGAAGAAGGGTAGTAACGATTGTAGAAGCTTTTTTGTCTTTTATTGGATATGCCTGGGTGAATTTTGTGAGTTCGTCTCTTATGGTAAGGGCGTAATTACGAACTGGGAATTCGAAAATATCGATGTTAATGCGCTCAAAAGGAGTTTTAGGAGTTTCTGTGATAACTAATGGTGTGTTGAGGTTTTTACGATAGATCTTGACTTTTTGACATATTTCGCACTTTCTAATATAGTTTTCGACATCTTTGGTCAAGGTTGGCCAATTGTATTTTTGCTTTATGCGCTTAACTGTTTCGTTGATTCCGCGATGTAAATTATTTTTTCCTGAATGGTATTGGTCTAAAATGATAGGGATTTCATCTTGATCGGGAGTTCGAACTATATCTTGGCAGATTCTTAGTTTTATAT